GTAAGCCACCAGTACCAGCTTCATTTGTACATTTTATTGGGAAAACATCTACTGAAGATCTTCGTTTACTTTTACTTTTTATCCTTTCTGGCTTTTTTCTTTTTGCTTATGTGGTGCTGAGGAATCAAACCCAGGGCCTCCTGCATGCAAGGCAAATACTCTACTACTGAGCTACCTTCCCAGCCCCTACTTTTACTTTTTAATCAGGTGGTTTCCTTTATGTTTTTACTTTTAGGAGTTCTATATGTATTCTTAGTATTAATCCTTTATCAGATACTTGATTTGTGGATGTTTCTCCTATTCTGTGGACTTGACGTGATTTTGTTGATGGTCCAGTACCTGAGGTACTGGAAATGGATCCCAGACTCTTGTGCTTGCCAAGCAAGCACTCAGCTACTAAGCCATATCCCAACCCAGAATCTTAAAATATTCTAACAAAGTCCAATTATTACATCTTTCCTTGAATTTTTACCTTTGGTGTTGTAATGCAAGAATTATAATGTTGTAAGATGTCATGTGCTTGCTTTCTGGAGTTTCATTATTTTAGGTCTTGGGTGCACTTACATATGGAGGATTACCAACCCCCCCACCCCTTCTCCTCCCTGGCCCCTCTATTCTATCCCTTTGTTAAAATTTTCTGTTTCTGGGCTGGGAAGGTGGCTCAGTGGTAGAGTGCCCTCACATGCATGAGGCCCTGGATTCGGTTCCTCAGTACCACATAAGCAGAAAAATGCCGGAAGTAGCGCTGTGGCTCGAGTGGTAAGGTGCTAGCTTTGAGCTGAAGAGCTGAGGGACAGCGCCCAGGCCCAGAATTCAGCCCCCATGACCTACAAAAAAAAAATCTGTTTCTATACCAGTACTAGATTGTTCTGGTTACTGTAGCTCTGTGCAAGTTTTGAAACACACCATTGGTGATCTTTCAGTCTTATCTTTTAGCACGATCATCTTTTATTAAAATTGTCTTGACCAATCTGGGTCCTTGGAGATGTTATATGAATCTGCAAGAAAGATTGTGTTGGATCTGTGTACTCTTGGAGTGATATGGACATCTAACAGTGTTTTCCAACCCAGGAACATGGAATGTATTCCCATTAATTCATGTCTTTTGTAATTTATTTCAGTAATTTCCATTTTGTGACTTTGGCTAATTGCTAAGTATTTTATTCTAAATTTGCTGTTATGGAGTTGTTTTACTTAACTTACTTGTCAGATTATTTGTGCTCTGAAATGCAATTGTATACTGCAATGCAAAATGTATACTGATTAGGTCCTGCTACTTTGGTTACTAAGTTATTCTTTTGGAATTTTTTAAGGGCTTTATGTGTACAAAATAATCTCCTCTACCAATAAAGATAATCCTACATCTTCCTTTCTCACTAAGTGTTTCTTATTTCTTGTTCTTGTCTAACTACTCTATGAGTTCGATGATATTGTGAACAGACCTGGTGCAAGCGGGCACCCTTTATGCATTCTGCTGCCTGAAGAAATACATGCTATCTGTCAGCATTGTTTGATGGTCACTGTGGGTTTTTTTATATCCAGGTTTTGTTCTTAGTTTGGTGAATGTTTAATCCTGTTGAATTTGTCAGTTGTTCTCTGCATTGACTGTGGGTTTCTGTTTCATTTTGCTAACATGATTCATGACATTGATTGACCTTTGTGTGTTGAACCATCTTTGCATTCTAGGAAGTAATTCTACTTCATCATAGTGGGTAATCCTTTAGTGAGTGTGGCAGGCCTTGCTGAGGTATGGCTTTTTCTTGTGCTTGGTGCTCTGGGAAGCAGTGCTGGTTAAGCCCCATGCTAGTTATGAAGCTGGGCATTTTCAGAAGCCACAAGGCCCAGATTTTAGAGGCTGGTTTCCTGAATCACGTGGAGACAGCCATACATGTGGTGCCCTGTGGTCAGTCATTTCACTTGATCTTACTCATGGATCTTCCTGCTGAGAACCCAGGTTCTCATCTGTTCTCCCATCCCTCATCTTATTACACTGACTTTGACCTTTTATCTATTTTGCCTATTTCTTGCCATTTCAGTCACATGTACCAGCTCAGACGGGAGCTCTTCAACTCTAATCACCATGGAGCTTGGACTAGGCTGTAGGGCATGCAGCATCTTTTTGTGGATTGAAGTCAGGCCTTTGCAAGGCCATCTTGTAGAGTTGCCCCTGTCCAAATGTGATTCCAGCCTTGCCACCTGGCTCACACAGAAACTGCAGGGCAACTGGCCTGGCCTTTGACTCCAGCTGGGACAGATTTTGACATTGAACGTGAGATAGGTGAGATCAGAGTTACACCTGGCAGTAGCCAGGGTGGCTGGGGGGGGTCTCTGCCACTGCAAGCTGTGTGTGTCTGCCCTGGTTTTTTTTTGGGGGGGGGGCTGTAGGAACAAGAAAACAGAAATGTGCTTTCCAAAGAGAGAAAGAACAGTGAGTACACAGACACATGGTAGTTCTCAACCTCTGGCTGTCCTAATGCAAGATCCATCTTGTTCTTTAGCTTTGCTGGACATCCCAGTGACCAGTGATGAAATCTCTTTCTTCACTTCAGTTCAAGTTGGGCTTCTGAGCCTTGCCAATGAAAGGTCCAGGCATGTCTTCTGGACTATCATGGCTTCCATCCTATCCTGGGACGCACCCTGTCCCTTGGCTTCAGAGGGCCTCTTTTAATGTTCTTTTTTCCTTCAAAGATCTCTCTACAGACAGCTTGTTCATCATCTTCCTGCAGCTCTGTCGTCACAAGATCAAGTTAAACACGGGTCCATTGAGCTTGGCAGGCAGTAGACCCATGCCTCTTTCCCTGTGCCCAATTTTCATCTCAGCCACTCAGCGGTACTGATCCATGGGCATCCACTAATGGCAGATAGGCACCAGGAACACATACTTACTTCACATTCCACTTTCAGTGGCCAGGAACAGACAGCAGAAGATTCTTATTCACATTTGGTCTAAATTCATGTTACTCACTAGGTATGGTGGTACATGTGTTTAATTCCAGAACATGAGATTCAAAGGCAGGAATATTACTAGTTCAAAGCCAGACTAGCTACATGGAGAGGTCAAGGCCATCCTGGGATGTATATAGCATTCAGGGCCAGCCTGAGCTACATAGAGAGTTCAAGGCCAGCCCCGTGTGTGATGTCTGCTTGGGTTGCATAGAGTTCAAGAGCCTATCTGATGACAAACAACCACAAACTCATGTCACTAAGTAGCATGAATCTAACTGGATTTTATTGCATGTTCTTTATTGCCTCCTTCTTCTCCTTACTGGTTCAACTGGAAATAGAAGGGCCACAGATGTCTGAAAAATATTTTTAGCTATCCTGAGAGTTTCCTTGAGCAAGCCTTATTACTGTTCCAGGACGACAGGCATGTGAAATCTGGAGTGGTGTTTTGCAGAGTCAGTTGTTTAGAACAGATATACCTCATTTAAACACGTCGGAAATGTGTGTGGTTTCAGCATTGTTCTCTGACACAGTCCAGATGAAGACAGGATTTAAAATACATGTGACATGTGTGCCTGAGTTAAGACTATTTAGGGGCTTGTAAATAAGTACAATTTTGCTCCAATGTGAAATAAAATTTTTGTTTTTGCCTTTGAAATACAAACTAAGTTTTACTCCAGAACAGTATGTGCCACAGACCAGGCTGCTCTGTAAATACTGGTGTGTGACGACCGGGGTTGTGTAACTTGTCCACTCAACCTGAAATCCGATGGGTCTTTGCATGTCTGTATGTCTGCCATCCTATAGTCTCACAATGCTCCTTAATTTTAGTGCACAGTGTCTCCTGCGTCTAGGTCTTTGAACAATGCTTTATGTGCATCAACAAACCCAGTCCTCCCATGTCTACCTACACAGGGAGTTCCCTTGAATACTTAGGTTTCCTCACAGTGTGCTCCTTTGTGGATGTCACACTACTTAAGGCCTGGCTTCCAATGGGGGAAAGAGAAAAGTGACGGGGATCCTTTAAGTCTCTCAGAATCCCTTTTTTAATTTATTTATCTATTTATTGTGAAAATACTGTACAGAGGAGTTACAATTACATGGGCAAGATAATGAGTACATTTCTTATCAAGCATTGTAGCCTCTTCCTTTGTTTCCCCTTCCCATCCCTTCCCATCCTCCCCCTGCCCCCTATCCTTCTCACCCCCCCCCTCCGCATGAACAGAATCCCTTTTCCTGGAGAAGGGGCCACAGTAGTGACCACCCTCTTCCTCTTCACCTCTGTGATCTGAAGTGAGAAGCAGGGATCAGAGCATAGATGGCCTCCCTGGAAGGAAGAGTGCTTTCTGCCCTCCCTGGGTCCTGCTGGTTGTGTGCAGCTTATCCCCGGACTGTGTGACATGAGGTGGGAGATGAGATTTGGCAAAAACTACCCACAGTTGACAGTCCCATCCTTCCCCAGCACATGCAAGCCTTCAGTGTCGTTCCGGTGGAGAAACAGAGCCCTGCATCAGCCTGCCAGCTTCCCAGAGCCCTCTCCTGTGGCTGGTTCTATAGCTGGAATTGGTTAATAATATGCAGACATAAAAAAAAGTGTGTTGTAGGGCTGGGAAGGTGGCTCAGTGGTAGAGCGCTTGCCTTGCATGCATGAAGCCCTGGGTTCGATTCCTCAGCACCACATAAACAGAAAAAAAAAGCGGAAGTGGTGCTGTGGCTCAAATGGTAGAGCGCTAGCCTTGAGCTGAAGAGCTGAGGGACAGCGCCCAGGCCCAGAGTTCAGGCCCCACGACTGGACCCCCCCCAAAAAAAAGTGTGCTGTACAAACTGTATTCAGAATAGACAGATTGATTTCCAGACCAAGGCTCTGAAAGGGTTAAAGTAGTAGTGAAATGTAGTGTAGATTAATCAAGAGTAAATGTCAGACCTGTGGTGCCTCTGGATCTTACTATTTTGATGCACTCTGCTCTGTACCAGAACATTATGAGTCAGGAGAGTGCAAGGTGTGGCTCTCCGTCTGCAGAGCTAATAAGTCACCTGTGTGCTGTTTCTGGTTGCAGCTGGCCACGGCCACCTTGGATGGAAAGCTTCAGCTTTTTCTGGCTCAGTGACGGCTGGCCAGTCAGTGCCAGATGTGAGAAGACATCTCGAGAGTGAGAGTGCCTTCCAGCCTCTCTGCAGGCCTCTGCCTCCTGCACCCTCCTCAGTGAGCTTTCCTGGGCCTCAGGATCTTCGTTGGGAAGTGGAACTGGCACCAGGCCCTCCGCACAGATGTATGCTGGGTTAGGGCAGGGATGCTTTTCAATAAAAGATAGTTCCTTATTTGTTTTGTGATTTGACTTTGAGGAAAAGACAGAGGAGGGGAGGGGAGGAAAGGAGAAAGAGACACTAGGACAGGAAGAAAGTGAAATCAGATGTGAATTCTCTTTGTGCGGTGAGTGAAGCAGTCTGTGTTACTTTCATGTCACGTTGACCAGTACTGAGAAAAAGATTTCATTCTGTTTAATTTTGCTCACACTGTCGGCTCAGTCCAGGCTTCCATGGACCATGCACTTAGGGGAAGCATTGTTGTAGCAGAGTCTGTTCATCCTCTGGTGGAGAGGAGGCGGAGCGTGGAGGAGGGGCCTGGGAACAGCACCCAGGTTCAGCAAGCCATGTCCAGGAAGGCCTCACCAGTCAGAGTTCCTGGTGTCTCTCACACGAGTGTCTCTGCTGGGGATCTGGGCATTAGCACAGGAGTGTGTGTGGACATTTCATGTTCAGATCACCTCTCTGTACTCATGGTTCCCAAAGTGAATGGCCATCCCCAAGAGCATTGAAGCCTCAACAAACATTGTTCAAAAAGTTCAAGTCCAAAGTCACTTCTGAAACTCAGGGCAAATCCTTAGCAATGAACGCCAGTTTCTAAAACCCCACAATTCCATGTAGTAGCACAGAATAAACTTTCCCATTGCAAAAGGGAGAAATAAGAGAATCATAAGGATCAGAAAAGCAAGGCCAATGCCCAGTGGCAACCTTAAACTCCTATAGCTCGGGGTCCAGCAACTAGCACCCCAGTGCCATGTGTCTAGTGGGCTTCTAGTCCTGACCCAATGGTCTTGCTGTCCGCAGCCCACATGACCATGCTGGGGCTGGATTCACCGGTTGCCTGTGACTTTCCTAAGGGGTCATTCCATGTTCCTGTCCCCGTCAGCCTCCTGGGGCCTCTTAAGTACAGCATGGATCTTGTCCTCCCAGCTTCATACATAGCCCTCTTGGGCTGTCTGCAGGAATCTCACCCTCTCACACCCTGCCTGGCCACAGGCCTTCCTCTGAGAACTCTGTGGAAGCCTTCATGACCTCTTAGATAGCACATGTGGTGGAGGACACCAGGACCCCTTAGGTAACACATGGGGTGGAGGATACCAGGGTAATGGCCGTGGTCTGCTACCAGCATGAGCGTGTCCAGGCCTCGCTTGTGTCATGGCTGCTCAGTGATGCCTAGTCGTAGCTTCTGGGAAAGCACTTCCACAGGTGACCCGTATGAACCGGGCACCCTGGTCCTTCAAGTGAGCTTACAGCTTTACCCCTCGAGCCTGCCACAGGCTGGAGATGCCCTCACTCCTCCTGTCCCTGATGCAAAGCCCTCCTCCAGTGACCATCTCCTCCTGTCCACAGCTCCCAACATGCCCCTCTACTGGCCAAGCTGTATAATTAATTTTTTTTCCTCCTTGTTTTCTCCAGATTCTCACTTTAAACCTACCTAAAAACAGCTAGCAGTAACCATGTCACAGCCCTGGGCTGTTTGAAATTTCCCCCACCAAATTAGACATTGCTTTCAAATTCATCTCCATTCAGCCTCAGGACACAGTCAAAATGTACACATATTATTTGCCATAATGTGGCACGAGTGTCTGAAATCACATGAAGTAACCTTCACCATCTGACTTCTCATTGACACTCTGTAGTCTTCTAGCTTTACCAAATTTTTGGTTAAGTTGTTCTTGCAGAATTCTGTATTTTCTGTAGCCTGCTTTGCCATATTTCAGATTCCTCCCATAGACAAGTCCTAAAAAATTCAGATCCACATAGTCAGCAGTGAATCTACTTCTAGTCTTGGTATTATCTTTGTGTTGCTGTGAACAAATAGCTGAGAAAACATCCTAGGAGAGGGAGGGTGGTTTTTAACTCATGGTGTTAGAAGTACCATGTGTCTGGACAGACCACCAGGGTGGTGTGTGGTGTGTGGAGGTGGTGTGGTGGTAATGTGTGCTGTGTGGTGATGGTGGTGTTATATGGGGGTAGTAGTGGTAGTGTGTAGAGGTGGTGGCAGTATGAGGGTGTGTATGGTGGTGTGTGGAGGTGTTGGCAATGTATGTTGTGTGGAGGTGGTAGTGTGAGGTGGAGGTGGTGGTGGTGTGCGGAGGTGGTGTGGAGAGTTGGTGTGAGGTGGTGGTGGAGAAAGGGACAGAATAGGGCATCTGGGGGAAAGCACCCATGAGAACCCTGCCCTGGACATCTGCTTCTTCCACCCAGGCTCTCCTTCCTTAAGTTTCCAGAACCTCCTAGAATGACTCCACTGGCTATGGACTTGGGCTTTAACCCATGAGGCTGATGGGGGGGGTGCTGCATATTCAAACCATAAAAAGTACCCACCGCTGGCTGGCTCAGATTGGTGAGCCGTGGCCATGCCTGCCCCTCCTCGTGCCCAGTTGATGTCTGGGCCTTTCCTCCCATAGCTGATTATTGGACTGCCAAAAACAGTCCTCCCACAGTGGCCTGGTCTGAGGCGGAGATACTGAGAGCCTCCCTCTGTTCAGGTTTTCTGAGAGACAGGCCCTGGGATTCTGCCTCTTTTCTATTCCCAGGTGGACCCTGGCTCCTGGTATACACACCTACAACATACGTGTGTATTTTCTTGCAATGTTTCTAAGGAACAAGTTTAGAGTAACTTGTTTTTATGTTTCTCCCATTGAGAGTTATCTAATCATTTAATTCAAGTTAAAATTGGATGAATGACTTAGGTGCTGGTGGAGCCTGCCTGTAATCTAGCTACTTAGTAGGCTGAGATCTGAGGATCTCGGTTTGAAGCCAGCCCCAGGAAGAAACTCTTTCAGACACTTCTTCTCAGGGACAGCACCTAAGCCCAGGATCAGAAAAAAAAAATTAGGCAAATGAGTGATTTTAGGGCTTAAAGATCCTATTTTACATATTAGTTTATCTTAAAGCATGGTAAAATACACAGTTTGTATACCTTTTCATGTTAGCCATTGGCACTCAGCCTATTAAGAGAGTTTTATCTGGAGAAAACATGGGACAAAGAGAATGTAAGAAAGCTATTGTCAGGGGGAGGGCCCTTGTCAGGCCCCAGCTCAGGCCCTGCCAGCAAGGTCACTAAGGGCCTTGGCCAGGAAGGCAGAAGGGGAGGTAGAGGTAGCCCCCCCTCCCTGCAGCACCAGTAGTCCCCTGGGGAAAACTCGTTCTGGTCCTGCCCACCTTCCCTCCTCCCCGCCTTGCACCCCCCTCCCCCCCTCCGTGGCTGCTTTGGCTACCTGTGGCCTGTGTCCTGTGCTGCTGATGTGGGCGCTCAGCACTGCACAGTGGTGGTGGGCTTTGAGCAGTGATAAGGAGTGATTGTAGCACTGCCTCTTGGGCGGGGATGGTCATCAGAGCAACATATTCACACGGACCACTCCCCTTCCACCTGTCACCCTGTGTGACCAAGGAGAGTGACAAGATTATTGCTTTTGTCATCCACACTTTCCAGACGTGACAAAAGCAGAGTCACAGAGAGCATAGTGACAGGATCTGGAAGCTCCAAGGCAGATTTACTGGTGGGCGAGAAGAGCTGCCCATCTGAGTTCTAAAGGCGGACCTCTCCTTTGCCTTGGCCTGGGGAGCACAGGCTGAGCACCCCTGGAGCTGGGGAGCCAGAGAGGTTCAGATCTGGACATCAGACAGCCCTCCTTGGCCCACACTGGGCCTCAGCCCCTGGGGAGCACAGGGTGTTTGGGAGGCCAGGACTCTCCATGTCCACGGCCCCTCCCAGGTAGGTCTAGTCTCCAGTGAGATGATATCAAGATTCCCTTTGGTATTTGGATGATAAATGATTCATATCCTGTGGTCTGTGTCATGCGTTTGCACAACCTTGGCACATCCGTGGGTTTGAAGACATCAAAGCAAGAATGTGACTATGGTCCCAGGCCTGGCCACAGGAGGGGTGGCCTAAGCCTCTGGCATCAGCAGTCCTGCTCATAGTTGACATTCCTTTAAAAGGCATTCTTTGCAGATGTGGGAGCTCATTCTTTTTCCTCACATGAAGGAGCCGACTTCATATTTGGGGCCTGCTGGGGAAGGATGCCTGGTGTTTACCCCTGCTGTCCACGTGACAAGCATGAGCACAGGCGACGCGTGTGGCCAGGTGTGGCCCAGGTGAGAAATGGGCCAGGTTAACAGAGGCCCAGCCCATGTCTCTGTGGGTGTGGGCATTTAAAATGACCAGCAGCCAGCCACCTCTGATCCACAGCCATGGAGATCCCTGGGGCTGCTCCATAGGCGTCTCTCAGGAAAAGGGCAAAATATCAAATCTTGCCTCTCTCCCTCTAGTCTTTTCTCTCATTTTGTCCTTTTTTTCTGACAAAATTTTGCTTCGCACCAGCTTTGTTTCAGGCCTTAATTAGGAACATCTTCAGAATTCTTTCTTCAGTAAGTTCCCCCACTTGTTTAATGTTGTGTGTGTGCATGTGTATACATGTGTGTGCATGCATGTGTGCACACTGTGTATATGCATATGTCTGTGTGTGTGCCTCTGTGTGTGTGCCTCTGTGTGTGTGCCTCTGTGTGTGTGTGTGTGTGTGTGTGTGTGTATTGAAGGTTGAACTCAGGGCTCATGCCTGCTAGTCCACTTGAGCAGAGTCCCAGTCCTTTCCTTTTTCAGATTGGTCTCCTGCTTTTGTGTGGCTTGGCTTCAGATTCAGTCCTCCTGCCTGTTTCTCTGGCAGCTGGGACCATAGGTGTGCATCACCAACCCACCTCTGATTAATTTTGAGTTTCTGACAGCAATGAAATGGTGGTGGTCTGAGTCCACCGCAGCTGCCCGCACACTAGAGGTGGATCGTGGAAGTGTCACGCACCCTCCATCCCTAGAGGTGCTCTGAGTTAATTTGGGGGGGGGGTGAGGGTTTTCTCAGGGAGTAGCTGGCCTTACAGTATATGTTTACTGTCAAGACTACACATTGCTTTGTTCTCGAGCTATGAAAGTATCTCATATTCACTGTGCAGAGTCTTATTCTGCTTGTTTCA